GCTAAGCAGCTGGGCTGCTCTCAGTGTTCCTGTGTGGGCTAACTTGCTTTGCCTTTGTGGTGAGCTTCCTCTTGCAGTGGGAATTCCTCCCACCTGACCACTGGTGCTGTCAGGTGCTATTTCTGACCTGATTTGCCAGATGTTGCAGCAGCAAGACAAAAATCACAGTCTCTTAACAGCTTACAGTCTGCCCTGGATTTTGATTTGTGTTTGGATCTTGTCAGCTCAAAATATTTTCTGCAAGTATGGCTCCTATCTCTTAAGCAAACAAGCTGGGTGTCTCTTTTCTGCACCCTCCCTTCCTAATTTCAACAGCTATTTTGAGCTTGGGGTGTGATCAGTGGGATGTTGCTGGTCCCTGGATCTGCTCATGTTGTCAGGGAACCTCTTCCTCAACACCAGCCTCGTATTTACAATATGCCTTGACTGGCAAGCCTTGCTCTCCTTCCTTCTGTCAGGAAGCATGTCAGAAATCTCCATGAATTCATTGATGTAGGAATTCTGAGCTTGAGCCACTTCCAGGAGCACAAGGGTGAAGGGTGTGAAATTACACTCTGTACTGAAGGGAGGAGCTGGAGCAGCAGGGATCAAATGCCGCTCTCCTCTGGGGGCTCCTGTCAGTTTGAAATTCTGGCAGATATTGGGAATCATTTCATCTCCCGGACTTGTTCCCTCACAAAGGGCCTAGTGAGAGGGGAAACCTATGCAAAGCCTTGAGGTTTGATAGCTGTGCAGTCCCACTGCTTCTAAAAGCAGCAGAATCTGCAAAATGTTTCTCGGGTACATATGTATGTCTGTACATGTACATCTATGTATGTAGCTTTTAGCTGTGTTATATATCTGTATAAAAAATAAAAGCCACACACTGAGCTTAGTTTACCTATGTGGAGAACTTCTACTCCCCTGGGTTAAACAGAACACACCCAACTGTCCAGCCATCTCATTTTTTTAAAGTAGAGATATATATATATATATAATTTTTATTTTTTTTTTCCTGTATGATGCTTCTTAAGGAGTTCTGAAGGAATAAGCAGCTCTCAAGGGGGGAAGGATTCTAGGGCTAATCTTGTTTGATGCAGGCTCTCTTGGTGCTTGACACTTCACCCTTATTCTCAAATGAGCTTGAATTACGTTTGAAGAAAAGGCTCATTCAGACACGAGCTGTTGTCTCTTCCATCCTTGCAGAAAACAAGGAGGTTGGCCAAACTAAACACAGTTTTTCCCCTTCTAGAATTAGGCACTATGCCCCTAATCATCATATAGCTTCAGTTTGATTTAGGGGAAGAGAAGTAGTCACAACTCTGTGACTTCTGCCTTCCACTGGTGCTTTCCTGGTGGCTGCTGCCTTCTATAGAATCATAGAACCATTCAGGTTGGAAAAGACCCTTGAGGTCACTGAGTCCAACCATCATCCTTACCCTACAAAGTTCTCCCCTAAACCATCTCCACCAATGCCATATCCAAACGACCCTTAAACACATCCGGGGATGGTGACTCCACCATCTCCCTGGGCAGCCTATTCCGGTGTCTGAAATTACCCCAGTATAATGGGATAGCAGTGGGGCACTTAGATTAATTAGTGGCTGTAAAGCCTGGGGAGCTCTTTGCTTAAGTGGTTCAAAGGAAACTATTGTTCTGCGTGACCCCTGTTGTTCTTACCTGGGTGTCCAGCTGCCGAGTGGGCAGACTGCTTGTGACTGGAGTGTTAATTACCACGTGTCCCTTAATCATGAAGGCTTGTAATCCTATTGCAGTTTGGAAATCCACATGCCACAGGACCCAGTTAACATCCCTGATACCATCACCTGCCAGTCAATCCACAGCTATTAGCCATCCAGAACTGTTGCCGATGATTTGCGGTGCAGATGTGCCAGGGCAGGATTTTCCAAGCCAGGCTGGAGGATGGCTTAGGAAGGCTAGTTAAAATAATACCTGTCTTAATTTGACAGCGTTGAAAAGTCTCCCATCACAACACATGAATGTGCTTCAAAATTGTTTTGCAGCAGCTAAGGCTTCAGTATAAATCTTCGCTTTTATTAGGATCCCAAGAGATTTCAGATGGGGCTTCCTCCAATTTTAATTCCCTTTTTTGTTGATTTCTCACCAGCCTTCCAGCTCAGTGCAACTCAAGAATTTCCCTCTCCAATTCCATTGTCACTGCTTCTAAAAAAATGAGTGCTGTAGCATCTGTAGCTAAGGAATGTGTAACTTTCTTGTCATTTACTGCATCTTTAGGTTTCCCAAAGAATGTCTGAAAGGAATTGCTATTCTGTAAAGCACAGCATGTTACAGAAGATATAAATTGTGTTTTCTCATAAGGCTGGAAACACTTTTCATTTCTCCCTCCACATACACACTTCCCTTAATCACAAATAAATGCCATGTTGAAAGAAAATTACTCCTTGCATCAGGAGAAAAAAAACCCAAACAAATCCAAACACACTTATTTCCAGAGCCATGACTCCTCCTTTGCTCACAAGACTTGATTGATCTTCCAGGTCCAGACAGCACAGGGAGCAGACTCATTTTCCCTGTTTATAATCCCAAAGTTGATGGGTGCACCATTTATGGTAAGGATCCTTTGTTTGGATTTTTGTTTTGTTTCGTTTTTCTCAACCTTACTCAGCACTTTGCAACACATCATTTAATTACAGAGGAACAAAGATGGGGCAGGGATCCTTCTCTCCTAATGCAGAGCCCTTCTGCTGCAAGGCTGTGGAGAAAAGCACTGTTGCTCTCAGAACAGATTTCCCCCCTCGAATTACATGAGAGATGAATGGTAGTTTTGCAGAGTTTTCTTTGAGGTTTAAATCAGCAAAGGGAAAGGAATGTATGTGTTCGAGTAGATGTCAGAAGTAGCCTTTTTTAGAATTGTCCTGCTACGTGTTTACAATATGAACCCTTTTCTGCCATTTAGGTAGACCAAAATGTATGTGTCACTATGTGGCTTCATACAGCAGTCAGAGGAGTAACAACATCCATACTCCATCTCTGTGACAGCAAGATACACTTCAGAGTGTGGGGCAAAAAAGGGCATGTAGAGACTGGAGCCCAGAGCCTCTTCCTAGATGACACCACTGCAAGGAATCAGTTTGAAGTCAACTCCATTAAGAGTAACCACTGCTGTTCAAAGTGGAGTAGATCCACAACTCTTACTTCAGAGCCTAAAACTACTGGTGTCCTACCAAAAAAGCCAGTCACCATGCCAGTTCATTCACCTGGCAGGGATGCTGAGTTTAAGGGTGCTTGGATACATCTGCTGGTCTGTGTCAGGAATATCCTGAGGAAACGTTGTGCATGTTTATGGGCATCTAAGAGCGTTTGTCATCAAAATAAACTTGAAGAAATTGTTGGCCCCCATCACTGGCATAGCAGACAGGAGCTGTGCCTAGAAATAGAGATTGGCATAGCAACACTGCTGGCTGTTTTGCAGGGAAGAGGGCTTGTTTTTCCAGACTGCGACATTTAACAAACATTTTCTGCTTGCTGAAACTGGCGGATCCAACCCAATGCTCCTCTGCTGGAGTCCAGACCACAGACTTTTCTGCCTTTCCAGTGTGTGCACATCACGAGTCGCTCCAGTTCGTCCAGTTTGCTCCTTTGTGTTTGCCTGAGACGCGCTGAAACGGCCCCACGACCCCTCCCGGCGAGGAGTTATTTGGCGAGATCCTGTTTTATGTGGCCGTTTAGGGCTCCGTTAAGCCGCGGGCTGGGCAGGCCTTTGGTGCAGCCTCTGACCGGCGGCCTGCTCAGGCCCCTGGGAGGATTTGCTGCCTTCTCCCCGAAGATTCACTGCCTTGGATTCACAGCCCACACACACGGGGGCTGCGATGATCGAGGGCACATCCTGAAAGCTCCGAAAACACCAGGCTGGAATCAAAAAACATTGACTCTTGGAAGCTTTAAACCTTGAGAAGGGCCCCTGGGGAGGCAGCGTGAGGTTCTCCTCCCACACGGCTCGAGGAGACGGGCCTGACCCCGGGGGATACACCCACCGGGAGCTGAGCTACCTGAGGCAGCAGGTCGGCCTTTGTTTTGCCCCGGGAGGAGCGCCCGGGGGCTGCGGGACGGGAGGTGTTTGCGGGGAGACCCCGTTGGCGCCCGCGGCCAGGCCCGGTTGCTAAGGCCGCAGCTGGAGGCGGGGCAGAGGGACAGCCCGCTCGGCCAATCCGGAGAGACCCCCGCCTGGGCCTGCAGCCAATCAGGGCCCGCACACGGCAAC